AGGGGTGGGGGTGGGGGTGTACGGTGAAGGGTATGCAATTAAAATGTCAATAAGTCTGATTACTATTCTAAGTAATCTTGCATTCATGCAAGCTGTGTGTGTATAATGTCTGTCGCATTCTCGCATATTGCTCAAATATAGTATTCATTTAAATGAAAGAGAACAAATTCCTTATTTTTTGGTGATCATATTGATTGATTGTGAATAAACTGCCAGAACTCAATTCAACCAAATATTAACCTTGCAGGGAAATTAATAAGTCATACATAAAGTCAATATGATTTCATAAAAGATGAAATTTTATGACTTTTGTGCATCAAGTAAAATATATCATAGTAGCAGTTTTAAGAAGGCATTTGGGATGTGACTTTTGCAAAATGTTGTCATTCAGACGCAATCACTCTCTAGCAGTGACGATTTTGTGCTATTTGACCTTTAACCTATACCGGTAATTCAGATTCAAGGTTTCCCACATGTAAAGAACACAATATTAGTCTCCATATGTCATGATCCACCATTTCAACAAAGTTACGGTTACAGGAGTATTTATTACTGAAATTATGATCCATATGAACAAAAATTGGCATGTCACTTTCACAATAGACAAGGTTTCCTTTCTATGCATCTCGCATGTAATTATTTCACAGATCCATCAATTTAAACAATTCAAGGCATTTTATCCCCAAATTGAAGCTTAAGAATGGGAGAAAAATCAACACAGTAGCTTGACACATAGTGACGAGGTAAACATGGATTCTATAGAACACATGGCTATATTACATTATAACGTACAGCACTATACAGACTAGGTGACTTTCAAAGAGCAAACCAGACTGTGAAAGCTGTTTAAACAGTGTTGCAACATCAAACATCAATCAACGACCTTATTCCCTTGTCTGGTTGAACCCAATGCAAGAACTAGAATCACAAACGAGTTTTGCTGACAGACAAATTGTCCAATTTATTTTTATATAAAAGAAAATATTTGCGATATCTCAAAACTGCAAATGGGCATGATTTTCAATAATAATATAACATGTCAATTTTATAAAGTTATGATCTCGGTCAGAGCAATATGAACATTTATCGCGTTTGCATCAATATTATCATTATATATCATGAAAGATCATAATAGGTTATGCATATTTTAACTATGTATGTTGACAAGTGACAAAGACAACTGTAAATCAAATGATAATAATTTGCATATACATCAAACATTATATCTGAAACTTGGAATTATATAATTTATTTCACAGATTATTAAAATGTATTAAAAAATTAGATGAAGAACTATAATTTATCCATGTTAATCAAATATATTCACCTCTGTGGATCTTGTTAGCGGCCATTTTGAAAATCAAAAGATTGTGTAGAGTTGTGACTACAGGTTCGGTTTCATTTGCAGGATTAAACACAGATTTGAGAGAGCAGTTATGAGAACATGATATGATTAAAAGATTGATATCATTTCATACAACATATTTTTTTTCCTATCGCACATTTACCAATTTTTTTATTTGATGGATGATCCTAGTTCTGGAAATGAGATTTTTTTTTTTTAATATAGGAAAAAATTAAATAAATTCATTTTTTCAGGAATAAAAACACAAGAGAGGTCAAACTCTTTTCGAAAAGAAAGCTTGTTCACTTTTGTCAACATGATGATCGGTGAAACCAGAATCCATTTTATCTCTTGATCCACTCCCTTAGGATCGTACCCAAGTCATGTAAGATTATAACAGCACTTCTTATCAAATTGTACCTTTGTTAGTGACAAAGACATTGCCATGGCAACTGGACAACCATGATGTTTTTCATTTCAAATTTTTCCCTGTCTCCCGCTGCAATCAAAATGATATCTAAGGTGCTCAAATGAGAATCTAGCGAGTGTAATGGGTAGCAGAGCAACCAAGGGTTTGCCCACCTGGGAACTGACTTTATGACATCAATTTCTGGTGAATGTTGGAAGGAAGCTCTGATTCTGAAAATTGAGTTATAAGGCAAAGATCAAGTATCAACTTTGTTGAGAGAAGCTACGAGAACAAATGAGTGGATGATTACATAGATGAATAAACAGTGAAAGATGAGGAAACCGAGAGGGGAAAGAAATGGAATATACGAGAGGGAAAAATAAGGAGAAATAGAAGACAAGAAGATGATACACAAATTCAGGGGTCAACAAAATTAAGGATTCAGAAAAAAAGGGGGAC